ATCGAACGTAGTGAATTTAGGCGAGAGTTCTCCGAACCCGCCTATTCACATAGTTCATACCCACCATAGACTCCGGGTCCCCCCCCTAACCACCCCACTCTTTCCGTAGCGTTGGTCTAAGTCCTCGAGGCGGAGAGAAAGGAACCAGAGTGATTGACGGCTGCCTATGGTGCTGCCATGTGGCCTCGGTCACGTGGGTTCGTGACGTAAGGGGTAAAAGAATCTTGGGGTCATGGGGCTTCCCCTGACCTAGATTCTATCTCTCTGTCACAGACAGAATCACTGATTAATGCCTACAGTTCAAAATAGTCATTTTGACTGACCGGAGTCTATGGTGGGTATGAACTATGTGAATCGACGGGTTCGGAGAACCCTCGCCTAAATCAATGATAGGAAGAAGTAAATAAAATTATTGAGCAAGACATCATTAACAATTTATTATGATTATGATTTATAACAGTAATGTTATAAATTCTGATCCTAGCCTTAAAAGTCTCCGAAAAATTTAATTATTAAAAAAAGTCCATATGTATGGATAATTGTGAATGATGATACTTCTCTGTAACTCATAATTTCTTGTCTTTTACTACGAAGTATGTTTTGTTGAAACATGCCTTTTCAAAGCAAGCATGTGACCAATTATATGCAAATAAGATTGTCCTCACTGAGATCATTGTTATGTCTGCACCTAATTAGGTCCAATAAATACAAATCATGACAATATTTTTAGAAAATTAATTTGTAACCAAAACCATATATTATAATAACCCAGAAAAAGTGATATTCATGCCAAGTTAAATTAGTCTGTTCATTGCTGAGAAATTATTGTACAATTATCCATCTACCTTAGTATGGACACTCTACACACTACTGACAGTCCAGGAGACTGTTATATTTTGAATATCATTTATAATGGTTGTATAGTTATTGTACTGTACAAAATAAGGATCTGTACTAATTAACAAGAAAACAAATTTATTTAAATTAGTACAATTATGAATGATAACAACAACAGCACTCTGTAGTAATAATAATATGAGGTTATTACGAGTATACCTCAAAGTATGCATGAAGACAGTACAGTGGCAGTATCGACTGATGCACAGCGGAGGTCGATGTGACGGCATACTGTCTGAGTGCATACTTTGAGGTATACACGTAATAACCTTATTATTCCCCTTTTTTTCCTTCCAAGGATACATCATGTGACTGCCAAAATCCAAAAAGTTTAGAACAGAATCAGTCAAACCCTGGTGGCAGCCATGTTTGTTTTTATTATTAGAGGGCACTTACACACGTAATCATTCCATATTTGGAATTCGCATTTCCTTATTTGTAGGATGAATGAATACCCCGTAAAATCGCACAAAATTATGGCACACCGTAACTTATAGCATTACGGTGACAGATGTAAAATAATAATCTTTATTGCATAAGAAAATTACAATGGATTACTGGAAAATAGCATGACTGAAAAATGAATACTTTTGCCCAACTAAACACATACTACATTAGTCATACATAGTAAGATAGATTTCACTGATTACATCTCAGCCATGATCTGATATACTTATATTTTATTTCAGAACAAAAGATGCAGCAGGTTATGATATTTTAACAACATTTCCAAATAAAGTATATTGCAATGAGATGGCAACGCTGGAAGAATGTGGACTTACACCAAATGCTACATTGCACTTAAGACCCATTAAAAAGAGATAACTCTAATGCTTTACATCTGAACTCTGTGTATATCACACTCATTGCTTTGACCGATCTTTTAACAAGTACAAGTTGTAAATAATCCACAGAGCTGTGTGCAGTTTGACAGATTTATTTTTATAAAGGATTTTTAGAAAGTATTGTGAAACACTATGATGTCCCGAAGATGTGTTTTTTTAATTATGAGTCTGATTACTCAGATTTACAGCATTTTATGATTTCAAGATGGCTGTCGAATATTGGGAAAATGTTTTATCATGTACTTGATGTGACCTGTTTGTAGTTCTCACATTACCTGTCTAGTTGTTGGTAAATTATCATTCCAGTAAGGGACATAGTCTCACTGGAAATATCTCAAACATTTTTGAAATGTGCAGTCTATACAAAATAGGAAAGAACATTTGTCATTTGCATACAAAGTAGTGAAGAACATTTGTCATTTGTGTACAAAATAGTAAAGAACATTTGTCATTTGCATACAAGGTATGAAAGAACAGTTGTCATTTGCATACAAGGTATGAAAGAACAGTTGTCATTTGCATACAAGGTATGAAAGAACAGTTGTCATTTGCATACAAGGTATGAAAGAACAGTTGTCATTTGCATACAAAATAGTAAAGAACATTTGTCATTTGCATACAAATTAGTAAAGAACATTTCATGTAAAATAGTAAAGAACATTTATCATTTGCATACAAAGCAGGAAAGAACATTTGTCATTTGCATACAAAATAGTAAAGAACATTTGTCATTTGCATACAAAGTAGTGAAGAACATTTGTCATTTGCATACAAAATAGGAATGAACAGTTGTCATTTGCATACAAAATAGTAAAAATCATTTGTCATTTGCATACAAAATAGTAAAGAACAGTTGTCATTTGCATACAAAATAGTAAAGAACAGTTTCATTTGCATACAAAATAGTAAAGAACATTTGTCATTTGCATACAAAGCAGGAAAGAACATTTGTCATTTGCATACAAAGTAGTGAAGAACATTTGTCATTTGTGTACAAAATAGTAAAGAACATTTGTCATTTGCATACAAGGTATGAAAGAACAGTTGTCATTTGCATACAAAGTAGGAAAGAACAGTTGTCATTTGCATACAAAATAGTAAAAATCATTTGTCATTTGCATACAAAATAGTAAAGAACAGTTGTCATTTGCATATAAAATAGGAAAGAACAGTTGTCATTTGCATACAAAATAGTAAAGAACAGTTGTCATTTGCATATAAAATAGGAAAGAACTTTTGTCATTTGCATATAAAATAGTAAAGAACAGTTGTCATTTGCATATAAAATAGTAAAGAACTTTTGTCATTTGCATACAAAATAATAAAGAACAGTTGTCATTTGCATATAAAATAGGAAAGAACAGTTGTCATTTGCATACAAAATAGTAAAGAACAGTTGTCATTTGCATACAAAAAAGGAAAGAACAGTTGTCATTTACATACAAAATAGTGAAGAACAGTTGTCATTTGCATACAAAATAGTAAAGAACAGTTGTCATTTGCATATAAAATAGTAAAGAACATTTGTCATTTGCATACAAAATACTGTAGAATACTTCATTTTCGCTTGGAATTTATTTTCGCTATTTTCGCTGAATGGATGATTCCGTGAAAATAAAATCCAGCGAATATACTTTTTTTCCTATATTTCACATTAAATTCATCAAAAATCAGTGAAAATAAGTTCCATACAAAACACCCAAAAAGCCTTTTCAGCGAAAATTAATTCCAGCGAAAATAAAGAATTCCACAGTAGTAAAGAACAGTTGTCATTTGCATACAAAAAAGGAAAGAACATTTGCATATAAAATAGGAAAGAACAGTTGTCATTTGCATACAAAATAGGAAAGAACATTTGCATATAAAATAGTAAAGAACATTTGTCATTTGCATACAAAATAGGAAAGAACAGTTGTCATTTGCATACAAAATAGGAAAGAACAGTTGTCATTTGCATACAAAAAAGGAAAGAACATTTGCATATAAAAAAGGAAAGAACAGTTGTCATTTGCATATAAAATAGTAAAGAACAGTTGTCATTTGCATATAACATAGGAAAGAACAGTTGTCATTTGCATACAAAGTAGGAAAGAACATTTGTCATTTGCATACAAAATAGTAAAGAACAGTTGTCATTTGCATACAAAAAGGAAAGAACATTTGCATATAAAATAGGAAAGAACATTTGTCATTTGCATATAAAAAAGGAAAGAACATTTGCATATAAAATAGGAAAGAACAGTTGTCATTTGCATACAAAAAAGGAAAGAACATTTGCATACAAATAGTAAAGACATTTGTCATTTGCATGCAAAG